CCCCAAAACCCCAAAACCCCAAAACCCCAAAACCCCAGAAGGATGCCAGCTCATTGACAACAAAGAATTAGTCAAACTTTTTCAAAACAAGAGTGGGCTCTTCTTCATCTCCATCGGCTGTCTCATTCTGAATCAACTGGGATTCTCCAATATAATTGAAAGAATCCTTTGTAGCTTGTTGCTTCTTCTTGAACGGCATTAAAAGATACTTCTCGAGATTCATGAAAGGAGCTTCACATAGCAGAGTGAATGGAATGGTTAACAAGTAAGTGACAATCACCGACCCAATACCGAAGAACCACAAATCATGTGTGCTGGCGTATACTCCTTGTTTAGCATCAAAGTAGTTCCAGAATATCACAATAGGATGCAATAGATAAGCAATATAGGACAAACGAGCAAGCACAACAAACAGTTCATTACAAAGCAACCCTCTAATAATTCTGAGTCTGTTCACAAATGTGGGTAATAACAGGAGACTAAGTCCAAACACAAAGCTGACTCTAGAAAGAGTATTGAACAGAACAGATGGGAAGTAACCCCAGCAATTTGAAGGCAATGATGTGTCAAACATATTTCCACATTCATTAAAATATGAGCCGAGAGGGAAACAGAAAATAGCAGTGATAGCCACTCCAATAAAAGCTAAAGCTAATGAGGTAGCTCTAGAGTCCCTCAAGTAAGAGTAGAGCTTGTTGAAGGTTGTATAACCAAGATCAATGTATACTTCTCTCATTGTGAGCTCAAAGTATGAGAACCCAAAAACAGCCCCTAGGAAGTATGGGCCCATTCTGGTCCAAGGCTTGGTATACATCAAGCTAAATGCATCATAGTCCCTTGCCTGAGTCATTGGGTTAACATTATGGATTGCAGTGATAACTCCGTTGAGTCCCATCGAAATGATTACTAAGATGAAACAAATGATATAAGCCATTTTTCTATTGTAACAGTATGCCATAATAATGAAGGGTGAAACTGCAAAGAACTGAAAATCATTTGCAAGGTACCAAAACCAGCCCATACAAGCACTTTGTGCACTCCATGGTACAAAGTTATTGATAAACACAAGATTGCTCCACCAGTAAGTACTACAGTTCTGATTCATAAAATTCCATGCTTGCCTATAGAAATTAAAGTATTCGTGATATTAAACTTACCAATAAAATGGGCCGCTTCCAAAGTATCTCATCAAGAACATCCCAAAGAATTGGATAAATGCAAGTGGGAATATTAGTCTCAAGAATCTGTGAACATAGAGCATTATAAAGCCTCCAACACTTTTGAGTTCTTTCTTTGCATACATTTTGGATGTGATGATGTAGAAAGTTAAGAATCCAGAGAGCCAGAAGAAGGAATCAACAGCAAATGTTCCTCCTCCAATGATTCCAAACTGGAATGTATCAAACATTAGATCTAGAGATTGGAAGTTTGAAATAGCAGTAGTAATAATAAAAGAGAACGAATGACCAATGATAACCCAAGCCATACTGAAAACTCTGACTCCATTCAGCACCCACAAAGTTTTGTCTCCTTCAGTATCAACAGTAACTATCTTGTTCAGGTTGGAGAAAGGATTGAAAGAGTAAAGAGCAAGAGCCCACTTGCTCTTTCTCTCATAGATCTTAGTTTCTTCCCTAGACTCGCAGAACTTATCTCCAATCTTAGTATAGGCAACAATGATGCCTGCGATCCAGAGTAATACTAGGAAGGCAATGATGAGGATCATGATAACAGCTCCAGCACTAAGACTTGTACTATGTAGTTTGGGATTTACTATAAAAGATCAGATCAGAATTAATTTGGTCTCCATCCGGATAATTTATTTAGGGATATCTCAGAAATTTATTTTGATATGTTCAAATTGCTTACCCATTCTAGCCTTCAAGGTACTATCTGGATCAGCAGCTCTGAACTGCTTGTCGATAAAAGCAGTTAAGGTCGAGAAGCTCTCAGGGGTATTTCACTCCTTTGGACTACACATCCCAAACCCGAAAATAGTAAATCCGGAGTTAGACTCATAGATTTGTAAAGTGACGTGTTCTAAATTATTGTCCCTATACATAACTTGCTTAAACTTACTTTGTTTCGCACTGATATTGGTTTCCGAGCTGATTGATTCCTTTCCCAGAATTCATATAAACCTGAAGAAGCTCTTTAATGTATCCTGGACTGAGAAGATTTCTGATTTGTTGCAAGCACTCAGTATCTTCATCTTCTTGTAAAGATGGAGCAGAGGACATCTCTGATTGCTGAGCATCTATATCATAACATTGAAACAATCTTTGCATAGGTTAACGAATATACCTGAATTTGAAACAGAGCAAAAGGCAAGTTGAACAATGAACAACAAAACCACGCTCTTTAAGACGGGCTTAAGCATATTGAAAATTCAATATTTTATTATTAGTAAGGGGTTTTGGGGTTTTGGGGTTTTGGGG